GATTTGCCACGCCCCCTTAGCACAGAGATGTAGTTGTCGATTCAAATCCCGTAGTGGTAGAGGTAGCAAGATTATAAGCAGTAATCAGGAAGATTAGGGTTTGGAGATGTTATTTAAAGAGTATAATCAAGTGAACTAAATTTGGAAAGAGGAAAAAAGGGGCATGAAAAATTCAGAAGATTGGAATTTGGGAGAATACAAAGAGTGGATGCACCTGTGCCACTGCAAACGATTTTGAGCCATGTCATTCAGGGTCTCTAACCATCGGTTGCTATCATCTCGTGGTCCCCAACCAGGTAGTCTACACCTACCAAAATGACTCAGTCCACTTGTCAGTGACTTCATGGACTTGTGCCATGTTTCGGTCTGGCCGCCTCTAGCTTTCTTCCAACCTACTCCTATACCACTGAACATCGCACGTCGAGGTAGTCGGTCGTTGGGCATACGTAACACGTGTCCCAGCCATCTCAACTGATGAAGTTTTACTACTTCATCAATTGATTTGCCATCCTTACCTAGTACCCGTTTCCTAACAACTGCATTACTTACTCGATAGTCCCAGGATATACGAGCAATGTTTCGAAGACACCTATGATCGAATACTAGTAGCATACGAATATCCTATACTCGTAACGGCCATATTTCACTGCCATAAAGTAGGATGGAACGAACTGCTGCGCAGTAAACACGTCCTTTGGTTGGTAGACGGATATCTCGCCTACGCCATAAATGATGCAAGTTGGCAAAAGCTAGTCGAGCCTTCTGCATCCGTGCTGAGATTTCGTCACACACCAGACCACAAGGGCTGATGAGACTTCCAAGATAAGTGAAGCGGTCGACACACTCAACTACTTCACTCTCTATCATTAGTTCGGGTGTCGATGCAGCCCAATCTTGAAGCAACATTTTGCATTTCGAGGGAGAGAATCGCATCCCGAACACGCTTGCATTGTTGCTTAGAATGATCAGAAGACTGCATTTTGTCAGCGTCTTCACCAAATAGAACTATGTCATCGGCATATTCTAGGTCAAAAAGTGAACCTCCCGGTAGAAGTTCAACCCCTGGAACTCTAGACGAGGAAAGTGTTATCTCTAAAAGCACGTCAACGACAAAATTAAACAAGAATGGAGAGAGTGGACAGCCCTGACGAACACCACTTGAGGTAATCAATTTTGATGACAGTTCGCCATAAGCTCTCACTCTACCAGTTGTGTTCGAGTAAAGAGCCTTAACAAGGTTAATATGCTTCCTTGGTACTCCTTTCAGTGACAAACACTGCCATAGAACCTCACGATCAACAGAGTCGAATGCCGCCTTAAGGTCGAGAAATACTACGATTGTGGGGCGTCTGAATGTGTGTCTATGTTCTAGGACCTGACGTAGTGTGAATATATGGTCTATACAACCACGTTCAGGTCGAAAACCAACCTGGTTTTCTCTAGTCTGTTCTTCATGAGCTTTGATTAGGCGTCGAAGTATTACTGAGGCTAATATTTCTAGACACTATATTAGTCAAACTGACTCCTCTGTGATTGTCACAAGAGGATTTCTGTCCTTTCTTACAGACTGGCACAATCAGTGATTGAGACCAGTCAGATGGGATTACTTCCACTTTCCGAATTCTACCTAAGACCTCAGTTAATCTCACTGCTAATACTGAACCACCATCCTTAAAAATCTCAAGAGTAAACCTGTCAGGGCCTGCTGCTCTCCCTCGTTTCAGATTTCCTATGGCTTTTTCAACTTCGTAAAGGGACGGAGGACCTACATTAACTTCCCATTCAGGTTGACTAGAGATCGTGGGAAACCGAAGTGTGGCTGAAGGCCAGTTGAACTGATCCCTAAAGTGTTCTGCCCATCGATCCAATCTCCTGGATTGAGAATGAATAATATGTCCATCTTTCTCTGAGATTGTTTCGCTAACGGTCGGGTTCCTAATTCCGGTTTCCTTAACGAGTCTGAACAATTGTCTGCTAATACCTATTGCCGCTGCCTTTTCCATCTCTCTTGCTTTCGCTACCCACCACTGTTCGCGATCATTGCGTAGGCTTCTTTTCAGCTTGTGCTTAAGCTGACTCCGCTCTTCATTATGTTCAGAGCCAGGTGGAATGAGTTTCCGAGCATCTATCAGTGAGATAGATGCTGCTGAGATCCAGTGTTGCTCCCTAACCTTGTGGTTTACCATACTAGCAGATATCACTGCTGTTTCCACAGCTTTTCGTATATCATTCCATGCTGCCTCGGGGTGGGCATCACATACACGGCTGCCTAACTGTTTTTCTAGTTGTTCCTGAAATATACTCTTAGCTTGATTATCATTAAGTAGGCCCCTAAGAGGTTTCCTGGCAGCGTCTTTCCTACGTCCAGTAAGACGCAGACAAATACGCGCTCGTACTAGAGCATGATCTGAATCTAAGCATGTGCTGCAGAATGAGCGACAGTCTTCTATCGAGCCCCTCCATCGGTGGCTGATAGCGATGTGATCTATTTGGGTCCAACGTTGGGACGAATTATGGGGTAGCCATGTCAAAAGATGTTTTTCCTTATGCTTAAAGTTAGTATTTGCAAGGAACAGGCGGTTATCTGAGTATAGCTGCAACAGACGGTCGCCATTATCTGTTCTTTGACCAACGACACCATAAGATCCACCTAGGTGTCTTTCCCCATCGCTTGGTTTACCTACTTGATCATTAAAGTCACCAGCCACTATTACTACATCAGAGCGCCTAGCTTTTCAGAGAAGGTCGGAAAGCTTTCTGTAAAACTCATCTTTTACACCATCTGAGCTGCAGTCAGTGGGAGAATAGGCAGAGACGACGAAGAGGCAACGACGAGTGTCCCTATCTTTCCGGATTCTTACTGTTCCGTTCAGTCGGTCAGCGCACACACGACCGTTTACTGGGATCCAGTCTAAGAGAGCTAGTTCTGCCCTAGGACTCAATGCTATATCTATGCCGGCCAGACCACGAGAAGCAGCGTCTAAGCTTCCAGATACATGAAGCTTGAATCGAGTCGGTTCTTTATTTTTGCATGGTGAGGTCAAATGAATGACACTACTCGGATCCTGTATGCGCGTTTCGGAGACGCAGCACACATCGATGGCGCGAGATTCTAAAGTCCTAGCTAAGGAAGCCTGTTTTCCTATTTGGCACAGTGTTCGGACGTTAAAAGCTCCTACATGTAGTTTAGAGCGTGGTTTCAGGAGACCGGGAATAACGTTCCGCGTACTCGAATCGTTTGCCCTAGCGTTGCGAGGTGATAAAGGGAGGTGAGAAGGGTTAGTCATCGATATAGGAGGCCAAAGAAATTCGAAAACGCTAGATTTGTCAGTTGCTCAGGATCACTGTAATCAACATTTGTATTTTTGAATAAGTCCTCTCAAGTTTTTCGAGCGATTACATGCGCCTGTCCGAACAACCGTTTTAGAATTTCTTTGGCCTTCTTCTAACCAGAAGAGGCTTCCAACATAACACAACCCTCAATGGCTGTTTTCGCTTTACCCTTACAATAATGTACCAAATAAAGCAAGCGTTGACCATCATCCTTGACCCTTGATTCTACATAGGTCTCAAACTCCATTAAAAACTTACAATAACCTCTTGGTTGACCGTCCAAATAACTTAACTCAACCTTTGGTAACTCTGGACCTACGAAAGCCGCCGTAGGCATCACGCTTCTTGCTTGCTTCACGTCTAAACTAAGGTTTTCTATGCCATCTGCCATTATATCACAACTAGATTCACTATAATTACAATCGTCCCTATTAGAATATGAACCATGACACATAGAAGCATCAAAAGGCACTTGCCTTGATTGAGGGGATCCATCCTTTTGTTCATCTCTTTTAACATCCACGAGCCTTGGACTTAATTTCCTTCGACGATTGTTTGGCATCGCAAGCGAACGACCAAATATTCCCAGAGACAATGATTGGAATCAACGAAACGAAAGCCAAACGAATTCGACCGAAATATTTGTTTAGAACTGTAAGATCCAAACTACGTTTGGAGTGAAGGACAGCTGTCTGGATGAGTTAGATACGCACCCTCGCCCGATTGAAACCAAAACAAAGTAATTGGGTACGATGACGGTTCTATAATTTATCATAAATTTAAGTGTACATTATTACCTAAACAAATATAACCACTCAGCTATGCAACCAATAATTGTTCAATTGAACGAATCTGTACGTGGTCTATCCAGAGTGGATAGAATAACATTTATTTGTTGTGATAGTTAGATCCATTTTGAATACTTTGTGTGTTTGTGAAAATCCCTCCATGTATATACTTGCACTTTGTTCCTATTGATCCTCTTAGTTGTACATTGTTAACTTTTTGGCTACATTTGAACTGTTAATATTTGTATTTTATTATAGTTTTCGTTTTTACTACACCTTCACTAATTCCCCATGTTTCTTCCCGAACTGCACTTATGTTGTTTTACTTTATACTAAGTCTGGGCGGCAGCCATTTGGGTTTATCCCTGCCTTTGGTTGCTTGACCTGTGTTGACTGGAATTGTGCATTTTGGTTGTGAATTGAAGCACTCTTCCAGAATTGAAAACACTCTGTGTTATAGAGCGACCAATTATTACCTTTTGAACGAATCTGTACGTGATCTATCCAGACAGGATAGAATAACATTTATTTGTGGTTATTGGTAATTTTCTTGCATCCTGTATCAACTTTCTTATTTATTGTAATTTAGATTTGATCAATTGAACAATTATTGGTTGCATAGCTGAGTGGTTATATTTGTTTAGGTAATAATGTACACTTAGATTTATGATAAATTATAGAACCGTCATCGTACCCAATTACTTTGTTTTGGTTTCAATCGGGCGAGGGTGCGTATCTAACTCATCCAGACAGCTGTCCTTCACTCCAAACGTAGTTTGGATCTTACAGTTCTAAACAAATATTTCGGTCGAATTCGTTTGGCTTTCGTTTCGTTGATTCCAATCATTGTCTCTGGGAATATTTGGTCGTTCGCTTGCGATGCCAAACAGTCGTCGAAGGAAATTAAGTCCAAGGCTCGTGGATGTTAAAAGAGATGAACAAAAGGATGGATCCCCTCAATCAAGGCAAGTGCCTTTTGATGCTTCTATGTGTCATGGTTCATATTCTAATAGGGACGATTGTAATTATAGTGAATCTAGTTGTGATATAATGGCAGATGGCATAGAAAACCTTAGTTTAGACGTGAAGCAAGCAAGAAGCGTGATGCCTACGGCGGCTTTCGTAGGTCCAGAGTTACCAAAGGTTGAGTTAAGTTATTTGGACGGTCAACCAAGAGGTTATTGTAAGTTTTTAATGGAGTTTGAGACCTATGTAGAATCAAGGGTCAAGGATGATGGTCAATGCTTGCTTTATTTGGTACATTATTGTAAGGGTAAGGCGAAAACAGCCATTGAGGGTTGTGTTATGTTGGAAGCCTCTTCTGGTTAGAAGAAGGCCAAAGAAATTCTAAAACGGTTGTTCGGACAGGCGCATGTAATCGCTCGAGAGACACTAGAAAACTTATTCAGTGCCGTAAATTTTGATTATACTGACGGAGTGCAAGTAAAAAATTGGCTATTAAAATGGAAAACTGTGCTGTGATCTTGGAACAGATGAATTATGTCTCTGATCTAAATTCCTTAGTTACCTTGGAAAGAATAGTGAGACTCTTGCCTCAGACTATGCAAACCCAGTGGGCGGACTTGGTGGACGAATTGACTGAAGATAACAGGGAACCGACCTTTGACGAGCTCACTCAGTTTATCGCATCGCGTGCGAGAGTGGCTTGTAGTAGATTTGGACGGTTAGCAAATCGTTGAAGAAAAGGACATAACGTAAAGACGAACTGTCACGTGCAATCGGAGCAAGGGAATAGTTCGACAATGATAACTAAGTGCAGTATGTGTTCCTACGACCATGCTGTTGATAAATGTCCACAGTTCTTAGCGCATACAGTTCAAGACCGATGGTCTCACGCTAAAAGCAAGGGTATCTGTTTTGTCTGTCTTAGACAAGGACATAAGGTTAATGAATGTAAGATGACAAGGCTCTGTAACGTTGACTGTTGTGAGAAGAGACATCACGTTCTGCTGCACACTGACTCGACAAGCAACGTCGTAAATGATAAGCCATCATGCCCGGAATATAGGAGAAGTGTTGTTAACCATACCAGTAAGGTACAGACATTAGAGAACGAAATACGTGAGCTTTATGATGTAGAGTTTTCAGATGCTTATTCAAGTGATAAATCATTATCAGTAGACGACAAGGCGGCTATAAAGATTGTGGAAGGGGGCACGCGCTTCGACAACGGTCATTTTGTAGTTTCTATACCGTGGAAAAAGAATCCAAATATGAAAGTGGATAATTATGAAGTAGCAAACCGTAGATTACAAAGTTTGAAGGGTATGTTGTTGAAGGATGCCAGTCTGCACATCAAGTATATCAAAAGTACTGAAAGTGATTTTACTAAGACTTATGCGGAGAGGGTCTTTGAAATATATCTGCAGTCTTATTACCGCCCTCGAGGGTATTTACCTTATCATGCAGTGTTAAACATGAAGAAACCAGAAGAACTTAGAGTGGTCCTTGATTGTGCCGCCGAGTTTGCAGGGGTTTCCATGAATGATATGATTTATCAAGAACACGATACCACTGCTGAGTTAATGTGCATATTATTAAGTTTTTGCAAGGAGACAGTTGCAATCCCTGCAGATGTTGAAGAAATGTTCATGCAAGTGAAGTTCCCTAAGTCTGGTCGAGGAGCTTCAAGATTTCTGTGGTGGCAGGAGGGGGACATGTCGAAGGAACCATCTGAGTTTCAAATGACAACTCATGCATTTGGTGCCACATCATCGCCGTTTCGTGCGAACTTTGCCTTCAATAAGACCGCACAAATATTCTCTGACGATAGTGAGTTTAGAAAAACTGCTGTGGTTAACTTGAGTAGTATAAAGTACAACATGTCACCTATTCTCTCTTATTACTCCGAGTGGTTGAAATTAGTCAGGGCCGTAGCCTGGCTTAGAAGGTTCATAGAATTCCTGATGGTACTTCGTTCCCCGAGTCATGAAGGATCCGTTCATTTAGGATGTTTAAAGGTCAAAGAGCTTGACATCGCCAAGCGTAAAATTTTATTGATGGTTCAGAAAGAAGTGTATGGAGAAATACTTAGTGGATTTAAAAACAATGGTAAAGTAGTTAGTCACAATGATCTGAAAGGCTTATCACCGATAATGCTTGATGGGTTACTCTGCGTTGGAGGTCGACAAAGATACTCAGATTTCCCAAATACTTTTAAACATCCAGTAATTTTACCCAGTCGACACTTAGTGACGGAAATGATAATTAGACATTGTCCTAAAGAACAAGGACACATAAGAAGATCATTAGAAAAAGGGTATGGATATGTGTTTACTTGTTTGCAAACATGGGCAGTACATATTGAAATGATGTGTAGTTTGATTATAATGGCCTTATTACGTTGTATTGGAAGAAGAAGGAAACCTCTGGAGATTTACAGTGACATTGCGTCAAGCTTCGTGTGGGCAGTTTCTGAGTTAAGGAAGTTTGTGCAACAGTCGAATCAGCAGAAGATAAATAGTGAATTGTCAGCGAGGCCCTCATCCAACAGCATGGGTGGAGTTTGGGGAAGAGTGACTAGGTCTATACCACGAGTGTTATTGTTGAACACCAGAGAACAAGTGAAACAGATCTCCTTGAAGCTTCGGATTAGTCTTTGTTGTTATTAATGTAGGTAGGTCAAGTAGGCGTACTGTTGTAAGTCCTACTCGTTCCTATAGTGTCATATGCTACATAATGAAACATGACCATAGGCATCAAGGTAGCTTGTGTGATATGGAGGGATTTTGGGGGCCGGTGTAAGATCCATTTTGAATGCTTTGTGTGTTTCTGAAAATCCCTCCATGTATATACTTGCACTTTGTTCCTATTGATCCTCTTAGTTGTACATTGTTAACTTTTGGCTACATTTGAATTGTTAATATTTGTATTTTATTATAGTTTTCGTTTTTACTACACCTTCACTAATTCCCCATGTTTCTTCCCGAACTGCACTTATGTTGTTTTACTTTATACTAAGTCTGGGCGGCAGCCATTTTGGTTTATCCTTGCTTTTGATTGCTTGACCTGTGTTGATTGGAATTGTGCATTTTGGTTGTGAATTGAAGCACTCTTCCAGAATTGAAAACACTCTGTGTTATAGAGCGACCAATTATTACCTTTTAAACGAATCTGTACGTGATCTATCCAGACAGGATAGAATAACAGTTATTTGTGGTGATTGGTAATTTTCTTGCATCCTTTATCAACTTTCTTATTTATTGTAGTTTAGATTTGATCAATTGAACAATTATTGGTTGGATAGCTGAGTGGTTATATTTGTTTAGGTAATAATGTACACTTAAATTTATGATGAATTATAGAACCGTCATCTTACCCAATTACTTTGTTTTGGTTTCAATCGGGCGAGGGCGCGTATCTAACTCATCCAGACAGCTGTCCTTCACTCCAAACCGTAGTTTGGGTCTTACAGTTCTAAACAAATAATTTGGTCGAATTCGTTGGTTTTCGTTTGGCTGATTTCAATCATTGTCTCTGGGAATATTTGGTCGTTCGCTTGCGATGCCAAACGATCATCGAAAGAACTTAAGTCCAAGGCTCGTGGAAGCTAAAAGAGATGAACAAAAGGATGGATCCCCTCAATCAAGGCAAGTGCCTTATGATGCTTCTATGTGTCATGGTTCATATTCTAATAGGGACGATTGTAATTATAGTGAATCTAGTTGTGATATAATGGCAGATGGAATAGAAAACCTTAGTTTAGACGTAAAGCAAGCGAAAAGCGCGATGCCTATGGCACCTTTCGTAGGTCTAGAGTTACCAAAGGTTGAGTTAAGTTATTTGGACGGTCAACCTAGAGGTTATTGGAGGTTTTTAATGGAGTTTGAGACCTATGTAGAATCAAGGGTCAAGGATGATGGTCAACGCTTGCTTTATTTGGTACATTATTGTAAGGGTAAAGCGAAAACAGCCATTGAGGGTTGTGTTATGTTGGAAGCCTCTTCTGGTTAGAAGAAGGCCAAAGAAATTCGAAAACGCTAGATTTGTCAGTTGCTCAGGATCACTGTAATCAACATTTGTATTTTTGAATAAGTCCTCTCAAGTTTTTCGAGCGATTACATGCGCCTGTCCGAACAACCGTTTTAGAATTTCTTTGGCCTTCTTCTAACCAGAAGAGGCTTCCAACATAACACAACCCTCAATGGCTGTTTTCGCTTTACCCTTACAATAATGTACCAAATAAAGCAAGCGTTGACCATCATCCTTGACCCTTGATTCTACATAGGTCTCAAACTCCATTAAAAACTTACAATAACCTCTTGGTTGACCGTCCAAATAACTTAACTCAACCTTTGGTAACTCTGGACCTACGAAAGCCGCCGTAGGCATCACGCTTCTTGCTTGCTTCACGTCTAAACTAAGGTTTTCTATGCCATCTGCCATTATATCACAACTAGATTCACTATAATTACAATCGTCCCTATTAGAATATGAACCATGACACATAGAAGCATCAAAAGGCACTTGCCTTGATTGAGGGGATCCATCCTTTTGTTCATCTCTTTTAACATCCACGAGCCTTGGACTTAATTTCCTTCGACGATTGTTTGGCATCGCAAGCGAACGACCAAATATTCCCAGAGACAATGATTGGAATCAACGAAACGAAAGCCAAACGAATTCGACCGAAATATTTGTTTAGAACTGTAAGATCCAAACTACGTTTGGAGTGAAGGACAGCTGTCTGGATGAGTTAGATACGCACCCTCGCCCGATTGAAACCAAAACAAAGTAATTGGGTACGATGACGGTTCTATAATTTATCATAAATTTAAGTGTACATTATTACCTAAACAAATATAACCACTCAGCTATGCAACCAATAATTGTTCAATTGAACGAATCTGTACGTGGTCTATCCAGAGTGGATAGAATAACATTTATTTGTGGTGATTGGTTATTTTCTTGCATCCTGTATCAACTTTCTTATATATTGTAGTTTAGATTTGATCAATTGAACAATTATTGGTTGCATAGCTGAGTGGTTATATTTGTTTAGGTAATAATGTACACTTAGATTTATGATAAATTATAGAACCGTCATCGTACCTAATTACTTTGTTTTGGTTTCAATCGGGCGAGGGTGCGTATCTAACTCATCCAGACAGCTGTCCATCAGTGCAACCGTAGTTTGGATCTTACATTGCGGCATCTATATGGTGCTCTGTAAGATTGTCCAGTACTTCGAGGTGTCTAGTCGAAGTCATTTACAGGAAGCCAACTGGTGACATCGAGTACGATAATCGTATTCTGGATGGACTATCGCGCTCTAGTCGTCTCGGTTTAACACACATCCGGATTCTAGG